GACAAGGAATTGGAATATATATCAGTGTCGCAACATAATTTGCATAAAATGTATCTAGGGATAAATTACAAAACAAACGGGCAATTTAACGAGAACACAACGAAAAGGTTTTAAGTAAGGGGAACTTTGTAAGAAAATTGTCTCATCCACAGCGTGCCCTGCTATGAACAAATTAAAGGATAAAATAACAATCACTGCTGCTATTGAACTACTTGAAAAACGTTTTCTTTCATTTTAGATTTTCAGTTTACATGATCTAAAATCTGTTTGATGATTCACATTCGAATATCGTCGTTTTTCCGCTACGGTGGGTAGCACAAAAAATAAATTGAAACGTGAGTATTTTTACCAAATGCCATATTAATGTACACAAGATGTTGGAAATGTTTGGTGTAGGCCCGGATGCATGTTAATAAGTATTGAATTTTTGTATAAATATTTGCGAACTGTTTTCTCTTTACACGTTATTTTGCTTACTTTGGAAACCAGAATATATTACACGCAAGGGCCGTCGAAATGGTATACTGCGTTAGACAACATTTTTATATTAAATAAATTAAAAGTTGGGAGTATTGTCATAAATAGGAATGGATTGATATTATGTACTTCATTCCCACATTTTTGCCACAGTTTTCCAAGCACAATTTTAACTTATACGCAGGTTTAATATTGGAATCGCCATTTGCAGTATGTAAAATAATGTTAATTTTGAGAGAATTAGGAATACAGAAATAGGTAATTAAAGAATTTGCCTCAAGTTCTGGCATCGAAATTAATTTTCTTAGATTAAATATTATAAGCGAAGCCATTTTAATTTCTGTAAATTATCGATGGTGGAGTTCGATTGAATTTCCTGAAATTATTTGCACAATACACAGTACGTAATTTGAAGGAAATTGAGCTTGCACATTGTCAGTCTAGTTTAAAAGGGCCCAACACAACAAGAGGCAGAGATTGAAGTCGTTCTATTTTATGGGCATTGCCATTTAAAAACTATGCTGTTACAACGTTGCTTTTATTTTGATTTATAGAACAACATAATTTCAACTTAAAATTCCGTCAACTCTAATTGAAGTATTTATCTGTAGACTATGAGAAACGTTACTGTCAAATCAACCTTTCTATATTTCGGGGAGGTAATTACGTTTACTTCAATGGGCAAGTTTTCTCATTGAAAAGCGAAAGTGTGCTAGCTCGAAAATAATAAATTGGCATTGAAATGTAAACGCGCCTAGTCGGATACGTTTTCGTGAATTATGATTAAATTCAAAATTTGAACATCTGTGGTCAGACGTGTAATGATTTGCTTACTACACCAAGGAAGAGGGTACGCATATGGGAGAAGGTTGCATTTTTGGGGACTAGCCGCTCTGAATATTAACCACACTTTAGCTGAAGCTTTCAATGTGCATATCTAAACACTAGAAATTTTTAAAACCCTACTTGCAGCTTTGTACTTAAACTAATAAATAACAGTGCAGTAAACATGTAAACTCCGCAGTGACGGCAAATGGCAAATATTTCAATCCGTGAGTTTCTTAACAGTTAACATCCATCAAACATTAAAAAATCACAACAAATGTCTAATAGTGCAAATGAGGCTTCACAATGCTCAACATCAGTGTTACAGCGTGATTTAAATCAGTCTTTTGACTTTAACACTCAATGTTTCTTTTGTTCTGAGGTCTTAAAGTCAAAACAAGATCATTTTCGCGTAGTTTCTACAATTGATTTTAAATTGTCTGTAGCAAAATGAGCTAGAGAGAGAAACGGCGATTGGGAAACGGACGTTTATAAGAGAATATGCATGGAAATTGATCTTTTGTTGCAGCAGAAGTGCGGTACCATGTATTCTCATACCTAGAGGTAAATAAACAAGTTTTTTTATAGCCTTTTCGTTACTTTTCCTTTTGGAATGCCCAATTTTATATTTGTTATCTACCATTTTATTAATTACCACGTTTTTTTAAACTAATTTATTTCAGACTTTCAACCGTTCATCAAAACTTGGGCTTAGTAAAATAAAAATGGACCCTTTACAAATATATACAACCATTGAATTATACAACTGTGCCCAGGGAAAAATTAGCATTCGAACCTCTTTGGGTGAGTAGAAAATTTTCTATGCCTTCTTTCAATACTTCATGGAGTGGTTACGTGTCAACAGTAGAATATGATGGTTTGAAAAAAAATAGCAATCTATTTCCACTGCCACTTGTAAACCTCGATCCAACCAATATGAGTATTGATCAATTAATTGATCAATCAATCTTTATTTGTCCGTATCCCATAAATAGGTTTTGACACGTCAAAAAATATAGTAAATATTAAATTAGTACAATGCATTATATATAAAAAGAATAAGACAGACAGACCATGTGGCTAAAACCGAATATAGATTATAAACAGTTTAAAATTTTAGTTAAAAAGAGAGACAAAACAGAGATAAAATATAAACAAGTAAAGGTAAAAATGACTAAAGAGAATACTACTACACAGGTACAAAAAATTCAAGTAAACAAACAATGAAATAAATAAATATTAAAATTATTCAATAGATCTCCAAGGCGTATGTAAATATTCACTAACGTTATAAAAGGAATGACTTAATAAGTGCGCCTTAACGATTCTTTTAAATTAAAAAAATTGTAAGGTTTGATACAATCAGGAACGATATTGTATAAGTCGACCCTTAGACTGTTATTTTTAGACCTACTTAGTTTATAATAAGGCGTTTTTATTTTTTTTTTGCTCCTCGTGTAGAATAGTTGTGAGAGAAGTCATTGGTTTCAAATTTATTTTTGTTTTTATTAATTTCCAATATGGTGTAATATATGAAAATAGATGGAAGAGGCATAATATTTAATTTTTTAAAAATAGGTCGGCAGTGAGCACGATAGTCAGCATTTACGATTATACGGATTATTTTTTTTGCAATAAAAACGCCTTGCTCGCTTTGGAAGAGTCACCCCACAAAATTACACCATATTGTAAATGTGAATGAACTAAAGAAAAATAGCACGATCTTAGGGTGGCTATACAAAGTGATCGTTTTAAATTCCTTAAAATAAATAATGATTTGGATAACTTAGATAAAACTAAATCAATGTGAATGCTCCAAGTGAGTTTTTCATCAATATATATGCCTAAAACTTTAACACACCTGCCGGTTGCAACCTTATTGTTTGTGGAGAGGGTAATTATGTGAGTTTTATCTTCATTTAGTATTAAATTGTTCTTATTAAACCAGGTTATTCCTAATTGTATTAAATTATGACTTTTAAGGGCTGGAGTTTCGATATTTTGGTCCGAAATCAGTAATGAAGTATCGTCAGCATATATGCGACAGCGTGATTCAGATGAATATATTCGAAAAAGTCATTAATGTATATAATGAAAAGTAAAGGCCCTAATATGCCCTAATATGGACCCTTGAGGGACTCCATGCTTAGTATTAATTAACTTAGAATATATATACCGTCAATCAAAACGCATTGCTTGCGATTATTAAGGTAGGTTGACATTAACGATCCCGTTAGTCCCCTAATCCCATATAATTGAAGCTTATCTAACATAATATCAAACGAAACGCAGTCAAAAGCTTTGGACAAATCACAGAGTATTAATGAAGAATGTTCCCCGTTCTCCCAGGATTTTACTACTAGAGATATAATTTGG